TTCTTTTGCAGGCCTCAGAAAACTCACAGCCAAACCTGTCAGTTGCCTCTGTTTTGCAGTCTCCAAATTCCAGGTTTGGGGAAGATGCAAAAGAAGAAACAGCTTGCTTATCAATAAGGAAAGATCTCTCGGAAGGTTTAGGAATAAAATGGCCGGAGAAGAAATCAGGTTCCAGCCCAGAGATCCAGGATTCAAGTATGGGAATGCGACACCTGGAAGATCACCAGCCAGCAATTTTCCAGAATCGTCCGGTGACTTCTCAGAATATCCCAGGCATTTCTTCTGGTGTCCCATTGCCAAATGGGATGGACAACCAGATTCAGATGGAAGATGTGGAGAAGCATTCTACAGGTTGGGGCCAGGATGAAATCCAACGTGGACTACCTCCTAATCTTGAGGATAGATGTCCAATTACTCCTGCATCAGCAGCCCAAGGAACCCATTTTCAGGGTAGACCCATGGATGAGTTGGACCAAGTTGCTCCTTGGACCGAAGGCACGAGAGGAGAAGAGCCAGAAGAAGCCCCTAAGATATTGAGAGACAATACACCCAGACTCCAAATGCATTTAGTTCCCGAGAGGAAGAGATCATCTGAAGCAATAGAAAAGTCACGACCGATCTCAGAAGTTGCCACAACAACCCCAGATCTTTCTCAAGTTCTTTCAGAGGGTCCTTCTCCAGCTTCAACAGTGGCAATGCCTCCTATGCCTCATGATTCCCAAGAACCAGCTCCGCTTTCTCCGGTCAAGGAAGACCTTGTTGAGAGGAACCAATCCGTAGCCCACTTGCTAAAAGATATTAAGAGAGAAACAGAACCCCGGGAACCTGGTAATATGGTGGCTTCAGAAGAACCAGGCCAACAGGTCACCAGGATTGAAACCAAGGAGGTCTGTGTGCAGAAAGAATTCCTGGTTCCTCCAAGGAGTAAAAAAGATAAGCAAGAGTCTAAAACGTACACCAAGAAGACAGAGGTTAGAGAGAAGGAAAAGGACAAGATAGCTTCTGATGTTCTTCTAAGAGAGAATTCTCGTCCTCCTGAGCCTGCAGCGGAGGAGAATCGAACAGTGGAGAAAGAACAGAACAGCGACCTTGTTTCTTCTTTGAAAAATTATTTGCTTTTGCTCTTGAAGATGACCTCTGAGTCAGACAAAGGCAAAGCCAGAAGCCTCAAGCCAGAAGCCAAGATGATGGAGGAGAAGACTCCACTAAGCGCCATTCCGAAACATCTGCCAGATGTGGGCATTGCGGGATTAACCCCCAGGACTTCCAGGAAGATCTTCGAACAGGTGGAGACCGCTCAACTTTTCCAAAGCGCCGAGAACTTGCAACTGACTCCCAAAACGTCTAGGAAACTCACGGGAATGATCAACCAAGAACTGCTCGCCTGCCAGAAGAACCTAAACGTTGAACTGGAGATCCCTCCTTTACCCTGCGTTCCCTCGATTGTGGTAGGGAGCATTGGAGGAGAACCAGAAGGTCTCCCCAATCTTCCCTCTTCCGAGATGGTTAGTGAGACCCCAGCCGCTCTGCCAAGCGCCACCCCTGAGGAGCTGGCCTCTGGAGCCCGTCGGAAGATCTTTCTACACAAAACCAAGCCAGCTGATGAGATGGAAGAAGGGGCCCTGGAGAGCCAGCCACGGCCCAAAAGGGACAGTCCCAGTGTGTCTCCACAGCAGGGCCGCAAGAGCCAGGCTCTCTTGCAGACCTCGGCCCCGGGTTCTCCTCCTGCGGAGAAGCGCTCCCCAAGCTTTGCCAGGAAGATGGCAACTCTGGAAGTTCCCAAGATGTATCAGGAGCCAGCGGAAGAAAGCAAAAAGGAGGATGACAGCTCCCCGTTGGCTCCAGAGAGTGTAGAAGAAAGTGTGCCCAAGATAGGAGAACCTAGGAAAACAAACGATCCATTTAAAGGTAGGTGTGCAATACCTCTTTCTAGGAGAGTCAAGAGATCTTGATGAGGGAGGTTTTGAAAAGATCTTCTCTCTGGGGGTGTTGTGGCCTGCCAGGGGCCAGCAGAA